CACCAGAACAAAAAATGGAGCTGCAGTTGCTTCCTGGGACAATAAAAGCTAAGGGTCAAATGCAGAAGAAAACATCATTTCAAGGTAGGCCTATAAAATCTTGTGCATTTCAGGGGCAGCACAGGATTCTGCGGTACAAGTGCCTGACTAACAGCTGGTTGCCGTGTCCTACAAACACTTCTCCTGCTGCAAGCACATTGGAAGGAATTTTAAGGCCAGTGCTGGCTAGGGAGAGTCAACCCAACAGGCAGTATCGAAGGATCACAGGAATCCTGAATGCAGAACAATTCCCAGCAGAGTCTTTTGTATTTCACATGTCATACTATTCTTCAGAATGTCATAATGCTTTACACCAAATAACAGTATGTTATATATGCGTGGCATTCTACATTTTTCACCAGTTCTGTAGAGGGGCCTCTCTGTCCCTCTCCACTTGTTTACTCAAGGGCAAGCCACTGGAATTACATATCCCTTGCGCTCCTTGATTGAGAGAACAAATTATTGCCTGCAGCTCTTTCTGGTTACCTACGGAGCAGGAAGAGCAAAACCAGCCTAGTGCCAGGCACAGCAGGTAGAGGAGGATCCCCCTCTTTAGAGTCGTGGTCAACTTACTGATTGCCATGACAGACAATAACAATGCCAACAGTGAAACAGACATTGTGATGACAACTTTGGTTCCTTAGGAAGGGGTACAGGGTTTTAAAAGATTCTAAAATATTTCCAAAAGGAATCACCGTGCCCATGACAGAAATGTGGCGATTGGGGTGGTTAGGAGACCACATCTGAGGAATAACAGCTCGCTGCTTCACGCCAGGATCTGGAAGGGACATGTGAGCGTTTGATCCCATTTCAGCAAATCATCTTCTGTGCAAAGCTTCTGTCTGTCTGTTTGTCGTTCCTTTCTTAGCAGCAGAAGGTAAGCTTCTGAACGTGCCCCACACTAGTTTTTTAAAGGCTTTAAGGTTTCTGCCTGACGTCTTCTCTGCGTGAAGTCCCTTTCTTCAGACAACTCACAAATACTTTTCAAATATTTTTATTGTAATTTTGGTGGCCACAGCACAGGGAGCATTCAGAAGGACACGGCTCACTGGGCTGGAGCGATGGGAAGGGTGGAATTCAGCCCCGCACGCTTCACCAGGCTGTGCCCTGCCAAGCTTTCTTCTGCCTTGCCTCCTTGGAGCTGCCCTGTGCTTGCGAGTTAAAAGAAAACTGCAGCCACATTAGGGAGGGCAGCAGCATGAAAGTACAGTGCGAGAAGCGCTTGTCACCATGAATAAACAGTGAAATGCATTTTTTTTAAAGTTGCTAATTCCACTTGGCATTTCTGAGCCCAGCGTTGGAAACATCCATCTTGTTAAAAAGTGATGTCATTTGTGACACTAGTAGTATTAGAAGAGACTGCAAACGAGTTTTCAACCTGCTTTAATAATGATTTAACAACCAGGAGAATAATCAATATTTTAGGGATAAATTCTCCACTGTGCCACTAGCAGACTCCATTTGTGCCCATACAGAACCGTGTCTACAGAGCTGCAGGTGAAAATACCTGAGTGCATGTGTCAAAAATCTACACGTGAAACCTTACACCTGCAACACTTAATGCCCGACACAGAGTTTATGTTCCAAACTGAATTCAAAACCCCTTTGTCTTTCCCCAGTCTCTGATGAAACCAATTCCGCCTATCTCTCCAATGAAGCTATCAAATAAATCTTTATACCTCTTTTCTCTTACATATTTTTGTGTTTATAAACAACAAAAAAGCTGGGGAGTTTTTGATATAGAGCAATATCTAGCACAAGGCACCGTAATGTCATTTACTGATAGAATTGGATGACATTTGGTTTTCACATCCTGGTCACAAAATGAGATTATGGCATTCTAAACTGCTTGGGTAATTGATGTGCAGATGCTTTTTAAAAAAGTGGATATCCAAACTGACTGGTTTACAAAGGAAAAAAAAAAAAAAAGGAAAAGGAAAGGAGCTCAGGTTTCTTCCTTTTTTAATGCTGATTCATTCCATGTCTATGCCACTGAAAGCAGAAGCCTTTGAAATGGCTTTGGGGTTCTGTTTGCTGCTTTGTTTTTGCTGAGTGAATTGTTCTTATGTAATTTCGCTCCTACATAACATATATTCTTATAACATTATGTAATCACAGGCAAAGTTCCTCAAAATGTCACACATAAGTGTGGAATTTATATCGTCTCTCCTCAGGACAAATAGACTCCTATTTTCTGAAGTAAGCAGCAATTAGATTATTCAGTGTCTTTAATTAGCCTTTTTTTCTTACTGAATAGATGCCCTGCATTTCCAAACCAGAGTCACTCAAAATCACTACTCCCCTCAAAAATCTTTGTCTTGCAGCGAAATTCTATGTATGACCTCATTTCTCTAAGGATCTTTTTAATATATCACCGAGCTAGACTACTTCATTTTAGGCTCCAAAATACTCACATTATTATTGATAGTAAGTCATTCTAATGCTAATAGTAGCATAATGAACTTTGGTTGCTTTATGAGAAGCTTAAAAAAAAAGATTATATTAGATAATCTTTTAGATAATTAGAAAATAATTAGACAACGAATATCCAAAGGGCCAATTTCTGAGGGCCTTGCTCCTTGTGTGTTCAATTCATTAAGTCACGTTCCCATTTTGAAGTTAGTGGGAGTGTCCTTGCCTACAGCACTGTAGGATTTGACCCAAGATTATGGACAACACAATACTGGTGAATAATTCTGCCAGCTTTTTTCTCACAATTAAAATTCTTGCAGGTATTTGGCCAGCGAATGCCTCATGGTGATAATGTTTAAAATGATACAGCGAGAATAATAGCTACATTTTCATTTTTTCGTGTTCATCATGTGATGAAGATTATGGACAACACAATACTGGTGAATAATTTTGCCAGCTTTTTTCTCACAATTAAAATTCTTGCGGGTATTTGGCCAGCGAATGCCAAATTCATGGTGATAATGTTTAAAATGATACAGCAAGAATAATAGCTACATTTTCATTTTTTTCGTGTTCATCATGTGATAAACATGCCTTTGAAAACTGATGCTTAGCTTGCCTGAAGCTGGATTAGTGTTTCTTATTAGTGGCAAGGCAATTGGCTTACACCATGCAGGAGCTGCTCTGAACTTAAGCTCAAAACTTGTTGTCATGCACAATAAAGTATAAAAAGAACCAAATGACCTTTCACTTCTCTTTTTCTTCAGACCTTCTCACTCTGGAGGTGGACCAGGTGTCATGAAACACAACTGGGGAAGCCAAGACTGCACAGATGGGTTTATAACGGGGAGTCTGGGAGGGGGTGGCAGAGCTGCTGAGGAGCTGCTGGAGTCCCCACCTTGGGACATGGGGCAAAAAGCCTGGTCCAGACTGCAAGCTGCAGGTGGGAACTCCTGGGCTTGGTGTGATGGAAAGCTTCAGAAGTGGCAGGAAAGAGATGTACGCTTGGGGAGGTTGCTGCGTGGTGGTCAGCTTTGCAAGGAGATTAGGTGGGAGGAGAAGGGGTCCCTCGCCTGCAGGACAGATGATGGGTGGAGCAGCATTTCCTAGCAAGTGGCAGAAATGAACAGGGAGGTGGTGACCAGCTGTGGACAGAGCACAGCACAAAATGGAGTCAAACTGCAAGTGACAGGTGAAAACTGGGAAATCCCGACATCAGGATTTTGCTTAAATCTTGTGCTACAGTAAAAGCTAGCTCAGGTGGGAGATCTGAGGCGGAAGTTGACAGTAGGAGTCCCAGAAAGCTAAACATTTTCTTTTCTCTGGTCTTTACTCTAAATTTATCTCAGATTTCATTTGAAACCGGAACAGTATGGAAAGGAATGTCCTTTTTCTGACTACCTTTCACTAATCCTCAGGAAATAACAGCTATGACCCTAGTAGTCATTCAAGATATTATTGACCTGGAGGATTTGTGTGCAGGTATGTGAGAGAGTCTGTACTCCCATCCCTAGTACAAACCACCAGCCTGATATTTCTAACCTGACAAATGTCGAAATCTGTGAACTAGAGAAAATGAGGGGGTTTGTGTGTGGTGCAGAGAGACCCTTTTGGGAAGTAGAAACATTTAGGCAGAGTGTCATAGGTATGGAGACTAATGTTTCAGTCATCCTTCTGAACCTGTTTCCAGTTATATAAGTGAGTGTCTATTTGTAGTCCTGCAAAGAAAATCCTTCAAAACTTGAAGCAGGCAGTGGCACTTGCTCCTGGCGGAGAGGCTGATGCAACTGCTGGGAGGTGCAAATGGCCCTGATCCATGCTGCAGGCTGCAGCACAGTGTCAGATGGTGCCCTACCACCCAGACAGGCTCAGCAGCCAAGCAGGAAGGCCCAGTCCACACTTGGATGGGAGATGACTTGGGAATCCTTGGTGCACTCTGATGCTGAGGAAGCTCCAGCTTTCCACTGAATGGGAGAGCGATGCCAGGTGTAGGGTGTTGCCCTGGTGAGCTATGCAAGTCACACACAAAAAGGGAATGAAAAAAATCTTGGCTCTCCATGCTGCGCTGGTGGGGCTGTCCAGTCAACCTGACACTGAGGTACAATGTTCCAGTCAGCTGGCAATGGTGGAGTCTTATTTGTCCCTGGAAGAGCCCTAGAAGAAGTTATACTGAAAGGAACCTGACCAGAACATCTGCCAAAGCAGGTTTCCACTGGAATATATTACTTCCATGGCTTGCTATCTTCCCTCAAAAAATGCCCCAGAGGTCTTCCCTAACTTTCTGACTTTATTTTCTGAACGTGTGAACCCACAGCCTCCCAAAGCTACCCATTTGCCCATGTTCCCTCAGTCTACTAAGCAAAACATCTGCAAAGCACTTTGCTAAACCAGAACTTTAAGAAAAAAATATTTTCTGTAAGAAACAAAATAACCCAATCCCACACCCCAGCAAGCACCCCAGTTTGGAAATTTTCATTTTTATTTGGAATAAGAACTATTTTGACTACATAAGCATCACATGACTCTGTTGCCAACTGTTGCAAATGAGGATATTTCAGATGTAACTGTTCTTAATATTTCTATCATATACGTGTCCTAGAAAGGAGGACGTCACCCAGATCTAGGGGTTCACTGAAGGGCAGAGAACGCTGTGGAGAGGAGACAGCCACAGGGCAATACAAATGTAGACCATTAGTTGGAGGCTGCAAGGTTCATGATGGGCTTCCTGTTGGCTGATTTTGTTGAAGGTGTGCTCGGCCTTTGAAAGCCTGAAAAGTACAGCAGCAAGGGGTGACAAATGGTTTAATGATTACAGGATGGTACGCCACATCACAAGTTCTTGGTCCTTGGCCTGACCCAACTCCTGACCTGTTACACGACTGTAAGCAAATTCTTCCACTGTTCCAGTCCAAATCCTTCAGTCTGCATCCAGGCAAAACAGTCACTGCAATAAAATTCTGTCTTGCTGAATGTTTTATGGGTAACCACAATAACACTGTTTCCTTCCTCTTGCCCACAGCAAGATCCTCTGGTACCATAATTCCCTGAGGGACAAGGCTAAATGCGGCATGATTTGGCGACAGGCTGTGATCAAAATCAAATCTGAACACCAGTGTATAGCAGTAGTGACCCACTTTCACTCTTTATTTCCTCCTCTCGTCTGTGGTTCTCGAAAATCACTTGCCTCTAGCATTGTCACTCCTTTAACTCCCAGCCTAGAAGATCTGCTGTGCCAGAGCACCCCATGACTCAGAGAGATCCAAAAAGCCTGAGCTTAGCAGCATGCCTACTGAACTGAGACAAATAAGATGAGCAGGTCAGTCTGACGAGCTAATCAGAACTCTCCTCTAGGAAAGATTATGCTTCCAGGACATAGTCCACATATTGCAGAAAGCATGTGGAATAGAGCCAAGGCAGAGATACCAACTCCAGCATAACCCATGTTCCCTCAGTCTTGCACATCCTCAAGGACAGTTTGTCTTTTGACCTAACACTCAGAACCTTTATAAGTATGAAATCTCTTCCTTTCCCTTCCTTCTCAGTGAGGAAGTGTTTCTTACCCCATCACTTTCTCTGGTCCCAGCACTGGGGATTCTGCAGCTACTGAAAAAATATCTCCAAGTGCCCAAGAGAGAGTAGGTACAAGACAGCCCCTCTGATATTCCTCACTTCTCCATGTGAGCCCTTAAGGCCTGTATTTGTGATTCTAGTGAGCCTTGGAAGGTTACTTAGCTATGGCAATAGGACTGAAGTTATTACTTCACTTCTCTGTCTCAAGCAGGAAGAGCACATGCTGTGACAGAGGAGCTGTAGACGGTACCTATTGAGTCTACACAGCTTCATGAATGTAGCTTCAACTTCAATTCCACTAACACTGCTGAGGCAAACATCCTCAGGTCTGAAACTCATCATCCCTCTAATTTATTTTTTTTCTTAGACACCCTACAGCACATTTCTCAGCCTTGAAAGCACAACAGAGGATCTCTGTTGAAGGACAAATAAGCTGTTGATTTACATTCCCGTATTTTCTAATCGGAGCTCCTCTTACCTAGACAGCCATACCAACACTTCCTGTTTATCAGTAGTCTTGTTCAAATATAAAAAAATAGAGCATACTGGCTAAGTGGCGCTCTGGCACTGACCCACCATTTAGACCTAGCAGCGGTCATATCCATTCCATGCACGGTTTGGCCTTCCATGGCTTTGGGAGAATGGCAGATAACTGAGGAACAGCAGCACCCCTCTGCCAATGTGCATGCTGATCCACATATGTCCAGCTGACACATTTGTGAACCCCTTTGAAAAACAAAAATCAAAACAGCCTTTCTAAGAAGAGCCATTAAATGAGGTGCTGAGATTTTGGTTTTCTTTGCTTCCTTTACCTTTTGCTTAGGAGAATCGGTGCTAAGTCTCCATTTCAGAATTTCAAAGATTGCTATTTTACTTTGGGTCACAAGTGAAACAGCCTTTTTTAGTTCCATTCTTCTTTATAATTTTTGCATTGGACAGGAATGGTAAGGCTCGGCAGATCGATACACACACGCTAAGGGAAGATCTGCAAGAAAAATAATGTTGTTCCTATCTGCAATATGCCTTTTTAATAAGACTCACCTACCACTGTTCTTCAGTTGTTGTAGCACCAAATTCACATGCAGGTCTAACACTGAAAATAAATAAGCAGTGTGTAGCATGGCAGATACTGGGGCAGATCGTCAGCTGGTGTAAATCAGCCTAGGTCCATTGACTTTAATGGAAACTTGCCAACTTACCCCAGCTGAGAATCTGATTATTGTTTTGCAAGTTCTTGCATTAAAGATAAGCACTCACATTCTGCTCTGTTACACTGGTGTAAGCGGGGAGTAACTTCACTGAAGTCTCTGGAGTCTTGCTAGATGTACCTTACCTGGAAAGCAGAATTCAGTTTGAAATCTTAATGACAGTTAAAGCAGTTTTTACCTCTACTACATTTCATCTATTTTCCTTAAAAAAAGAAAAGGGAAAAGGAAGAAATATCAGGCAGTCATGGAAATTCTCAACTAAATCTTTTTTCTCTGACTCTCATTTCCAGGCTTTGTGCAAATAGTAAATAGTTTATTTGATTTGACACCTACTGCACAAAAGGTTGCCCCTTCTGTTCTATCAAGGCTGGTATCAAGAAAAGAGAGAGAAAAATCGCACAGCTGGTAATACAGAGAACCCAAAAATATACAAAGATGTACCAGAGGGAATAGTCATCAACATAAAGTGAACAAGCACCCAGACTATTGATTACATGCTGCTCACAGAACACTAGGCATTTCTGCCAACTTCTTTCCACTCTTACACTGAGCTGCAGACAGCATGTTGTACTTTGCATCATCAGTTTTGATGAATAATGCACTGATAAACACTGCAGCCAATATTCTGGAGGAGCTGAGAAGCCAGATGTCATCTGGACCTCCAATAGTTTTAACCCTGGGTCTCTGACAGACACTGAAATAAACACTAGACATGCACCACAGAATGGGCGATGCCCAAATGCGAGGTTAGGTACAATATTAAGCTGGCAGGCATCTGAAAAAATGAACAGGCATTGTAATCCTGTCATGAACAACTTCCAGAGGTGCTGAGATAGCGAGAAAGCATCACCCCAGTGTGAGCTGCTCCCTGGGAACACCTGCCAGGTGCAGCATCCCTGTGTAAGTGAGGGTGCCCAGACAAAAGAAACGCTGTTAGCTGCATCGGCCCAGCCCTGCGAGCCACTGCCCAGGTCCCTTTTGAAGGGCTCAGAGGACTCAGCCTCCTGGGGAAGCGGCATCTCCAGTCAGAAGAGCGGATGGGTTCTTCCTGTGGCCGTGGGCTGGATGCGCTAGGATGGCAATCAGCTGGGCACCTTGTGGATGCGCCAGAGCCTTTCTGCTCATGGGCAGCAATGCATAGAAAGGTTTCTGGAGCCCTTAAACCTCATTAGGTATTTATCTTACATGGCTTTTTTAAGCAACCTCTGGGTCCCCTCAGTCTACCCACTGATAAGGTCAGTGTTCAGGGGACCTCAAGGCCTGTGAAGGCTTCATCTCAGTGAGTCTCAGCAGCACCAGGTACCCTTTAAAATCTCACAGGGGTTAGCTATTGCTAATCATCAGTGAGATTATGCAGTTCTGCAAGTAAACTATTCTACCCGCCCATCTCAGTAATCCAAGATCTCAGCATGCCATGTAAGAGTAAAACTTACTTTTTTAATAAACAAGGGGAAAGGCTGCACCTTCCCCAGAACTGCAGTGTAAAGGGCTCATTGCTAACTCAGAATTCTGTTTAAGGAAGATCTGCTTATATAAAAAGCCAAATTAGGCTCTCAAAGGCTCAGCGTATGCCTAAGCAATGGAAGAGCAGTTTCTGTCTGCTGGCACTGCAACATTGCTAGGGTCAGGAAGCCCCCTCATGGTTTGCTCACCAGGAGGAGAGTTGTATTATTTGAAGCATCCTAAATGTTCTGCTTTATTTTA